TGGTGGTGCTGTTTTTAAATGATTCTGCCTTTTAAGTGCGGACAAACTATTTGGATCCCCCTCCTCACAGGCTAGTGACCACAGAAACAAGAAATTGATGTATCGGTGATGCCGATTGCTGCTCTCAATCATGGGACTGATAAGATAGTTTCACTGATGTTTCATGCTCATTCATTCAACAAACGTTATCTGAGGGCCTGTCCCAGGCCAGGTACCATTCTAGGTGCTAAAAGGCACACCTTCATTTCCATCTCTGTATCCTTCATACAGAAAATTATCCCCTATGCCTCATCTGTTCAAGAGTAGTCTATCCTTGAAAAAACAACAATCCTGGAAGCTGTTGGAAATGACTTTGTTGAACTTCCTTCCCTGCAAGGACTCTTTCTGAAGGCTCATCTCCCAGTCTTCAGCCTCCTCCCTCTGGTCCTGGGGCTTACTCCTCCACGGGGCCATCTCGGCCACTGCTCAGTGGTTCAGCACCAGGAAAGCCGGCCTTGTAGTCTCTGTTATGCATTCTGGAGCTAGAAGGACTTTATTTTTAAATAAATATTTATTGCGGGAGGTAATTAGGTATTTATTTGTTCACTTAATGGAGATACCGGGGATTGAACCCAGGACCTTGTGCATGCTAAGCACGTGCTCCACCGCTGAGCTATACCCTCCCCCATATTTTTTTTTAACATTTTTTATTGATTTATAATCATTTTACAATGTTGTGTCTCCCCCATATTTATAAGTAAATATTTATTGACCAGTTAGTTAGTGCCTAGGAGCCTTATCAATATTCTGTCATTTCGCCTTCTCATTGTCCAGTGACCTGGGCACGTCAACTTAAGTTTTAGAAAAGCTCAGCGTAGTGCCTGAAGCCAGTCATGTAGCAGGTGGTAAAAGCTGTGTTATCAGTCACAGCTGTGATTCTAGAGACCTTCATACTCCACCACGCTAAATGCACGCATGTGTACATGCATGTATAATTACGCATTAAGGCAGGTGTCAATGCTGGAAGTTTTTAGAATAATAATGCAGTAAAAACGTTAAATCCAGGGGGCAGGGTATAGCTCAGTGGTAGAGCACATGCTTAGCATGCACAGGGTCCTGCTTTCAATCCCCAGTACCTGCATATAAATAAACAAACAAACAAACAAACAAACAAACAAACCTACCTAGTTACCTGCCTCCCCAATTTTTTTTTTAAATTCAGGGTTAAAAAAATGTCAAATTGTCGCTTTTTTTTTTTGCTGAGCTAAATGCTTTCTTTTCTTCATATCTGTAACAAGCTGGATGCAAAACAAAACAGCAATAGAAATACTCCTCTCCCAGACTTGTCCGGTGGAAAATGGACCACCCTTTGACTGGAGGACAGCTTCAATCAGAAGTGTTGACTACCAGGCTGTTGGCTATTTAAAGAGAGCACATTTCTGACCCCACACGGCCCTGCCCAAGTTCAGCCATCCAGCCTTTCCAGTGGGAGAACAGGCAACATGGCTCTGTGACAGTGTCTCTTGGAGTGGACATATGGCCGGAGTTGTGCGATCACCAGCTGGGAGGGTCATAAGGATTCCATCCAGGCATGTTCTGTGCCCCTCCACCCATAATAGGGTCCAGCATCCTACACTCAGTGCAGGGTTCTGATCACAATACAAAAGTGCTCCCAGTGCAGCCTGCTTCAGAGACTGAGCGATGGATGCATCACGCCCTTGGGGTTAGTCTGAATCCAGTGTCAAAGGTTAGAAATGACCCCATTTGGTTATGTTTATCCTAATTTCAGAAACAGTTAGACTCTCTGGTGCACACTGGTAGGGAGAGAAAGAAGAGATGCTAGAAATAGCTCTTTCAGCGTTATGCTATGAACTGAAAACAGCAGGGGCTTTCGTTCAAAGTCTAACATGGGTTTAGCACAACAGCTGTGACATGTTTTCTCAAGCCCCAGGTGGCAGTTTACTTACGCTATTAGAGGCACTGCCCCTCCAGGCTTAAAACACAATTATTCTTTTAATCTCCCAGAGCTGATTTGCCCTTATTTCACATCAAAACGTCAAGCGAACCACAGGTGAGAGCAATTCCAAGGCTGCGATGGAAGTACACAAAGAGAGCGGCAGTAGAAATGGAGCACCTGTCTTAGGAAGAGCTCATTTCCACCAGTGCTGGATCGCAAGGGTAGCAAAGACCTTAGAGAGCGCCCAGCCCATCCTTTCACATAGACAGGAAACAGCCCTGTCCACAGGTAAGTGGTAGACTTATGGGTAATGGACATGGTAATAATAACGTACTGGGTTCGCTCCTCTGACCCATGGTCTGACAGGTGCTGGCCACACGGGTGGGACAGGTTCACACGAGGACGGGAGAATCCACACTATCCTGCTGATGGGAAACAACCACGGGAAGGTCCAAATCTGAGGGTGGTGCAGCCAACCAACGGCACAGCCTAAGTGCTAATTCTGATGGCCGTTCAGAATTAGCGGGACCTCCCCCTTCCCTGGAACCATCCTTCCTTCCACACCATCCTCCCTCCATAACCACAAGGCTGAAGCCCGGAGCCCAGCCACTTGGGTTTATAACTCTCCTGCGCATACTTCCTAGAATATGATTGGGGGAAAGTTATAATCTCTCTGTACTTCAGTTTCCTCATTGGTAACAGGGAATTAATAGCAAATAGTTACTTTATAGGGTTGTCACAAAGATCACATCACATGAAGTACTTAGAATGGTGCCCACATTCTGTACTCAGCAAATGTTAGCTAGCCTTTTTATTCCTGTTTCCTCCAGGTAACCTTTATCCTCCACATCTACATACTCAAGCATTACCTGTTTAGTGAGCTGTTTAAAGTGTGGGTTACCAACTCTACTCATATTGAAAACAGCTCTGGGACACAGAGTTCAGGCTTTCACATCTACCAGATTTCTCTTAGGCTTCTTTTGGCCACCAAGTCAATGGGGTCCTCTGTGTCTGTCCTCTGAGATTATCATTGTCCTCACAATTGTCGAATTCTAAGATGACACTTTCCCTGGAATCTGCTCGCCAGATTCCCATCCTGGGCCCCCACTTCCCTGCTTTTAATTTTCAGCAGTGCCTTGCACAGAGTGGGTCTATAAGAAATGCTTGCTGACTTTAACTGAACTGGCTGCTCCTATGGACACATGTCTTTATGAACTTCCTCGGCTCCTTGAGCTTTCTGAAGTCCTGGTCTCCAGGAAGGGGCCTTCTCCCCACGGGGTTTCCTCCTCTCGCCATGTTTCTGAGCCCCGTGGTACTCTCCAAGCAAACGTTAGCACAGATTCAGTTACTCCAGTCACACTGGGGCTTATTTTCCAGTGACACTGGAGAACATATTCTCTACTTTGAGGTAGGCAGGGATTTCTTAGACAGGACCCAAAGAAGCACCAGCCATAAAAGGCAGTATCAATAAATAAGATTTCACCAAAATTGAAAAAGGTTTGCTCAACCATAAGCACCTTTAAGAAAATTAACAGAAAAGCCATAGATTGAGGGAAAATATTCACAGATCATTTACCTGACAAAGGACTTGAATCTAGAATATATAAGAACTAAAAATCATTAACAGGAGGATCAACAATGTAATTGTTAAAATGGGCAAAAGAGTTAAAATGGGCAACAGACACTTCACAAAAGAAGATATAAGAATGACCAACAAGTACATGAAAAGGTGCTGCATGTTATTCGTTATGCAGAAAATACAAATTTAAACCACAATGAGGTACCATTTCATATTCCCTAAAATGGTTAAAAAAAAAAAACAAAACCTGACCGCATTAAATGTTGGAGAGGATGTAGAGCAATAGCAACTTTTACATGCTGAACTTTAGAGAACTGTTCGACAGTCTCTAATAAAGTTAAACAGGAATCTACCCTTTGACTTGGCAATCCCATCTCTAGATATTTACTCAAGATAAGTGAAAACTCATACCCATAAAAAAACTCGGATAAGAGTATTCACATGAGTCTTATTCACAACTTCTCCAAACTGATAACTCAAATGCCCTTCAACACATGAATGGATAGAGAAAATGTAGAATATTCACACAATGGAATAGATACTATTCAGCAAACCACTGTACAGTGATAACATGGACGAATCTCAAAAACATTATTCTGAGCGAGTGACGCCAAATGAAGTATTTATATGAAATTTATATGAAATTCTGGAAAAAACAAAGCTAATAATAGTGCTAGAAAGGGACAAAAGTGGTTGCGTAGTGGCCAGGGATTGGGGGGGGGGTGGTGAGGCAGAGGGCACATATTTGCACAGGAGCAGAAGGGAAGGAACTTTAGGGGGTGATTGAAATGTATGTTCCTTATCTTGATTGGGGCAGTGGTAACCAAATGTATATATTTGTCAAAACTTATTGAACTCACCTCACACTCATTAGGATGGCTACAATGAAAACAAAACAAAACAAATCAGAAAATAGCACGTGGAGAAACTGGAACCCTTGTGTACTGCTGGTAGGAGTGCAAAATGGTACAGCTACTGTGGGAAACAGCAAGGTGGTTCCTCAAAAAGTTTGACAGATGAATGGATACACAAAATGTACAAATACACAATGGAATATTATTCAGCCTTAAAAAGTAGGGAGATTTGACATGTGCTGGATCTTGAGGACATTATGCTAAGTGAAGTAAGCCAGTCACAAAAACAGCAATACTGAATGACTCCACTCATATTGGTCTTTAGAGCAGTCAAATTCATAAAACAGAAGGTCCAATGGCAGACAGGAGAACAAGGAGTTACAGTTTAGCAGGCTACAGAGTTTCAGTTTTGCAGATGAAAAGAGTTCTGTGGATGGATGGTGATGATGGTTGCAGAACACTGTAAGTGGACTTAATGCTACTGAACTGAATGCTTAAAAAGAGTCAAGATGATAAATTTTATCTAATGTGTATTTTACCACAAGTTTTTAAAGTAATTTTTTAAAAAGTGAACTCCTCTAAAAAACAAAAAAACCTCATTGAACTAAGCACTTAAGACGTGTGCACTTTATTGTATGTAAATTATCCCTCAATAAGATAATAAGCATATATACAGCCAAAAGCATATGATTAAGATAATATTATCTTATTACACACATACACAACTTTGTAGGCTGATGGTGGCCTCTCAAGGCTGTTACCTTCATTTAGCAATATCTACTCAAATGCAAAATCTAAAAACCCAAACAGCTTTCGCACAGCATCCCGGGTAAAATCATGTCTCCTCGGGGATAACAGCTATTCAAAGAGAAAAATCTACCCAGCGCGGTTAAGCTCTGCCACAGGTTACACTGTTTTTCCTGATCCATTTTCCGAATTACCTTAGAATCAAAGGCCCTCAAGGAAACACGAAAGGTCACTTAATTCCATGTTCCTCCTTCAGAAATACCGTAAGTCAATTACTCCAGGCAAGTAAGACTCTAATACAGGAACCCCAACGGCTGTTCACAAGCTGCTGGTGTTGATCTCCAGTTCTTGTCTCTTCCACCACCAGAGCTTCTGTATGTCTATCTGCACTTCGGTGACCCCAACCCCTCCTTACAAATCACAAACTACAGGCCACCATATCCTGAGACACAGATTCCAAGGTTGACCAGTACTCTTTAGGGTCTTTGCGATATGCAGAATCCTTGTATATAACTGGCATAAACCCCATTATTTGAGCTCTCTTAATTGCTTTTGTGATTTCTTTTTGTTTCTTCCCACAAAGACCTGTTATGTGCCTTCCATAAATGCATCCAGTAAATGGAGAAATAAACTGGGATAAAAGCTGTACATTCTTATAATCTACACGTTTTCCACACAAGATACGTTTTTTTTCAGAGGCTCCTTGTAAGGATTTTCCATTGAAATAGGCAGGTCTTCATTGCTGGTTACCTCTTTATACTGTGAACAACTTCTCCAGAGAACTGCATGAATCCTGGAATCTCTAATGCAGACAGCAGCCATTACATAGTGCGCCAACTTCTTCCTCCCTAGCCCACTACAAAGAGCTACCAAAGAGGCCGTGGTTCCTTGCTCATCCTCTTCCTTTCCTTTTTCCAAACCGTCCTGACAAGTCCCTTCCAGTGTTCTTCCCCTGCTGGCCTGAGTACTCGGTTCAAAGTACTCTTGTCTCAGCCACCATAAGTCTTAGGGGTGAACGAGGGGAGCGTCTCATCAGAAAAAAGAACCCTGAATCTAGCATCTGGCCTTTCTCTCATAATCTCCCAGAGGAACTAAAATCCACTCCATCTTTCTTTACAAAATCCTTGTGATACAGGAAGGGAAGAGACAGACAGGACCTGAATGAGAAACTAAAGTACCAGACGGGAGGGACTGTGTTGTCCTGTGAGGTTTTATTTGCCTGTAGGTAGGAAAACAGGTATTATGCAGCCCAGGCCTTTCCTTACCAACACCACCACTTCCGTCTGCATGAGAGAAGAAAAGTCTCTTCCCAGACCAACAGGAATAGCAGCTGAGTTTTCCTTCATAGATCTGCACTGGTTCAACATTGGAGACCGGGAAGTGGGCAGAGAATAAACACTGCTCTCCGAAGTGTCACGTTTTCTCCTGGTGCCTCCCATGCCCTGCGAATATGCAAGTTCTGGCTCTGTGGGCAATTCCCCCAGCCCCTGGATCCGCCACTCCCTCAGTGGGCCAGGGTTCTACTTCCCAATCTTTCCAGAGTTCAAAGTGACTCTGGCCGAAGAATACAAAAACAGAATTGTTTAAATTCTTCCACAGTGGATGTCTGATTCACACAGGGAACTTGCTGTTTCTGACGCAGACTCTCCCAGTGTTTTCATTACAAGCTTCATGAAGGCACGGGGAAGCAATGGAAGAAACTCGCAACAAAACCCAAACTACAAGGACCGACACAAGACGATGTTGGAAGCTGAGAGGCACTGAAACTCACTTAAAGCAGACGGAGTGTGTGTGTGTGTTTGTGTACACGGGTTATACGTCTCCATCAGTTCTGTCTGATGTGGGAATCCATCCAGAAAACCCCACCCCAGCCCACCCACCTGAGTTCGGGAGCTGTGAGGTGGACCCATTACTGACCCTACTCCCCTTGAACCCAGCCAAGAGGTGTCGGGGTGGACGCCATGGTGGCAAAGTAGATGCAGGGAAAGGTGACCAAAGAGGAGAATCCTGATAGAAACACATTATATATATATGCATTTATATTAGATGCATTATCTATCTATCTATCTCAGAGAAACAGGAATTGGGGGTAGTATAAGATGCCACTTCGGAGAGGCAGAAGGGAACAAAGGAAAAACCAGCTAGAAACTGAGAATTGGACCAGGCACTGGACAGACAACTTTTTCTTCTGTTTAAAGCTTACGCCAACTGAAAAAGGTGCACAGGGTGGGACAAAGGTGTTTGCCCTGACTTTTGACAGACGCAGTCTATACCTGTGTTATGCAGTGCAGTAGCCATAAGCCACATGTAGTTACTGAGCAACTGAAATGCAGCCAGTGCGACAGAGAAAACAATTTTAAATTTTCTTTAGTTTTAACTAAATTTAATTTTAAAATTGAAGCAGTACAAAATAGTTTACCACAACACACAACCGCAATGTTTTGGTGGGGCCACATTTCACTTTAACCATCGCATCGTGCAGTGCGCATGGTAGGCACTTTGAATCTTTTCTAGTATTAAACTTTGTCACATCACCGATCCGGTTGATGGCAACAGACTTATTCACTTTGACTGATATTATCTATGCACTGATGAAATATTTTTAACGTGCCTATTTGAATATGTTTTACAGACGGCATGAATTACAGTGATATCTACATAGACTGTAATTTGTAATTCAATTTAAATAATCATTTAAATTATAACATTATTTTCTAGTGTGAAAAAATAACTTTAGACACACATACAAATTTTAAATGAAGGCAGCTTACCGATGTGAAATTGAGTGGGGAGGCAGAAGCATTATGACTGCACAGTGAGGAAAAAGAGACTCAATTGACATTAAGAATTAGTGAAGTAACATGGACAGATGCTCTTTCAAAAGTGTGATGCTTTTCATTTTAAAGTCAAATCAATTCTTCTAGAAACAGGAACCAGTGTTTTCAATGTGGATGCAAATATTAAAGGAAAATTATCTTTTGATTCTCAATTTAGATACTGGAAAACTTTTTTAAGTATGTTGGAAATAATTTGGGTATGTGAATCTACATGAACACTAAATTTTATTAAATCTAAACACAGATCAAGTATTTCTAGTGAAACTTCATTAGACAGTTTAAAATACACACCAGTTTGTTAAGACTTAGTATGAAAAGAACACTGTAAAATATCTCAATAATTTCTTATATTGATTACATGTTGAAATGATACTTTGGATCTGCTGCGTGAGATCATCAACATTATTAAAATTAATTTCACCTGTCTCTTTTTACTTTTTAAACTGTGACTACTACATAATTCAAATTTACATCTGTGGCTCAATTTATATTTCTGTTACATAGCACTGCTCTACACGTATCTCATCCTGTTTAATAATTTTTACAGGTATTCTTGAGCACTTATGTGTCAGACACTGTTCAAAACACTTTACATGAATGATTAGCTCAGACTATCTCTTTTAAATCTCACCAAAAAGTTGCTTATTTATCTTATTAGTGCCTTAATTTCCCCATTTATTAAAAAAAAAAGAAAGAAACACACATTATGGACTTATGACAAAAGAACAAAAGTCTCAGAATATTTAAAGGCAAAACCTATCTCTGTAAATAATCCACTTAATTATTCAGAAGAAACATCCAGGGAACAATTGTGCATCTTCAATAATTGGCAGAATAATCGCATTTTAAATAAGAGGAGGAAATGCTTAGCATAGTAACATCAATAAATCTTTGAGACTAAAGATTTTGGCTTAAATATTCCATACTCAGCACATCAAGGCCAAGACTAATTTTCAATGATCCTTCTTTTCCTCCCTCTCAAATGGCAAGAGATTTGATTTTTAAAACACACATGTTTATTTAAGAGGGCTTACCAAATTATACCTAAACAACGTACTTTTCAATACTGTTTGGTTTCAACTAATTTTTTTCCACATAAAAATAGAATCCTCCCACAGGACTCCTTCTAAAATGGAGAAAGATGAAGACTGAAATGGAGAGTATCTGAGGAGATCATAAAAAATTAACATCTCAAGGGATCACAGAAAAGACATAATGGAAAATGCTGGTTAGCTTTTAAAAAATAAGCTTTATTCGTTATATTAAAGATAATAAATGTACATGGCAGAAAATTTATTATTTGGTCTTATTTCTATCTTAGCAACACCAGGATTTTGTAGTTTTAACAATGCAGTGTGGACCCTGGATAGTTAATGCTAATTTTATTGTCACCATTAACCTCTCTTTCCATTCCACTATTATTATTTAAATACCTGTATGATTTGATAAACTTGTTTCCAAACCTAGCAGGAACGTGGGTAGAGGTCGAATTTTTCGTTGCAATGCTGAAAATCGTGGATCTTTCCTACAAACAGGAAAGATCAACCTTCACAGAATTTTAGAGACTGTAAGACCTTTAGCGATTGTCTGTTTCCCCCTTTCATTTCAAATTATTAAATCAACTTCAGCACTGAACAGGACATTTTAAAACAATGTAAACTTACCATCCACGTACCACCTACAATCTTTTAGCACGGTTGTAATCACAGTATGCATATCATTTCGTGTTTTACTCTCTCCTTTTAATTTTTCATATTCTACAAAATTGTCATATTTACCATTTTACTAAACTTATATTCTTCCATCATATTGATATGTTATAATTTATTCCACGTCTCTGCTATTGGTTGTTCTGGGTTTCTGATGCTATGACTACAAATTTTATGATTAGCTTTGTAGATATTTTATTCTTCTTTTGACCTATTCATTGTGATATCTGATAATTATGAATATTTCCAGTTGGCCTCTAAATTTACAAAGCTATCCAAATTCCAGCCAGCCATAAGCTTGTTTGCTTGCTTGACTTATTTATTTATAATTTAATATTTAGATGTGATATTGAACCTTATTATTGGCTTAATTTGCTTTTTTGAATTAGTAGGAACACTGACTCTTTTCTCTTTTTCTACTTGTCCCCTTCTTTGTGTGAATTATCTGTGTTCATTTTTTGCCCATATTGGGGATCTTGGTGCTTTACTAACATATTCCTAGAAATTATGTACATATTATAAAATGTGATATTTTATATTGCAAATTTGTTATTATGTATTTTTCCAATTTAGTATTCTCCTTTTAGTGTTGTCAAATTTGGGAGAAAAATTTTAAATCATACCTATCCATCTTTTCCTTTGTACTCCTCCCTCTTATTACTTTAATAGTGAGAAAAGTCTCTTTTTTTGCTGAAATGTTGATAATTGTTGAACTAGGTGATGCACATGGGAGTTCATTTTCCTATTCTCCCACTCTGGGTATATGCTGGAAAATGTCTACAATAAAGACATTCTAAAAAGTATTTTTTCCCCATTGCTAATCACTTTATTTCTACTAGTTTTTCTCCCACCCCTTTCATGTTCCAGTTGAGAAACTCTTGCCCAGGAAGCTAAAGTAACTCACTTCCTATATGACTCATCTTGTTCCCCACCCACTAAGCCACAACCTCTCCTTTTTGAGGCATGGAGAAAACACCCGATGACATGGCTATGACATGGAAAGGGCTCGAATTCAATTCAAGAGAGTTTGGCTGGAAGATCCCAAGTGTCGGGTGCTTTACTCCTACAAACTTACTCCAACCTGCCCCTGCAATAAGACATGAAAAGACCAGGGGTGTGTGGATGAACTTAATAGGCAGCTCTCCAAGGAAAGATTTTGATTTTTAGCCATTTCTTTGGTGTAAATATTTCCAATATGACCAATTTCAAGTTACTTATGTGGTGTCAATGAACTTAGAGCTGGGAATAGGTAGACGGGAGTACACCATTATGCAGTATTTCCACCACACAGACGTAAGAGACATAAGTAACTCCAAGGGCATGTGTAAAAGGTAGTAAAATAATTAGAAAATGATGGGCTCTTTTAATATAACTTATTTATAAATATTTCTAATTTAATATAATTTATTTACTTCTAAGTTCATTTAATTTAATTTTAAATAATGGCTGTATTTAATAATCAGCTTGCAAAACCCCTGAAAATTTAACATCCAGCTCCGATGAGCTGATAAAAGAACAGTCCAGCACACCACTGGGAGACAGAAAAAGGATTTTTTAAAAGTTGTGGTAAAATATACGTAACAAAGCTTACCATTTTAATGATTTTTAAGTGTACAATTCAGTGGCATTAATTCCATTCATAATGTCATGCAACCATCACCACTATCCATTCCAGAACTTTTCCATCATCCCAAACAGAAACCCTGACCCATTCAATCGTAATTTGCCATTTCCCCTCCCCTCAGCCCCTGCTAACCATCATTCTACTTCCTGTCTCTATGAATTGGAATTTGACTGCTCTAGGTATCTCATATACGTGGAATCGTATCATCTTTGTCCTTTCGTGTCTGGATTATTTCACTTAGCATAATGTTCTCAAAGTTCTCTGAGCATGTATCAGAAATTCCTTCCTTCTTAAGGTGAAAGCAGGATTTTAAGACCAGTATTTAAGGCCACCTTTAGTGCTCAGACAACCATGCTTGGCCTGGAGGGAGGGCGTGTGGATGTCACTCCATCCTCTCACTTCCAAGGAATAAGTCTTCCCTGATTCACTGAAGCACAGAAACCCCAGGGCGTCCAGTCCACCCAAAGCACGGCCCTGGTGGCAAGGTCACAGGGCAGCTTTAAGCAAAGAACCGGAAAAAGGCAGAAGGTGCCATGTGTATCATTCAAATCTCACTATTCATCTTGTCAATAAATCCAGACCAGGATTCAACCTAAAAGAAGTTCACACAACTTAGTGAATGTGAAAGTGTAGGTCCCTGAAAGAGAGCATTGCCATCAACTGGGAATTTGCTAAAAGTGTAAATTCTCAGGATCCACCTCAGACGGATAGAATCTAAAGCTCTCGGGGTAGGGCAACTGAATTTTTAAGAAGCCCACCAGGTGATTCCGATTTAGTCTTAGATTTGAGAACCACTGCTCTATGGCAATGATTCGAAGTTCCAACTATTTTAAAAATTTATTTTAATTAATTAATTTTTTGATGGGGGAGGTAATGAGGTTTATTTATCTATTTTTAGAGGTGCCAGGGACTGAACCCAGAACCTTGTGTTTGCAGCGAGCACTCTTCCCCCTTTAAGTTCCAACTATTGATGCCTAAAAAGGTCCCCAAAATGCCCTATGGGCATTTCTTAAGTGTAGATTCCCACTTACGATCTTACAACAAGAGTAAGGTAATGAGGGGGAAATAGGAGAAATTATATTAATGGAAGAGGGAGCCATACCTTAATACTTTTAATACTTTACGCACATGAATAGCTATGCATAAACAGACTCAGGAAATTTGTTTGCCAAAGGTTATTTAAATAGCAGAGTTCTCCAAACCATCCACTACAAACATGCACTACTCCTGGCAGGCTTGATCTGTTAATTTACAAGACCTGTGAAACTCCAAATTCAAGTCTCTTCCCACAAGTGAGTGTCAGCATGGGCTGTAAAGGAAGCCATTCAGCGCTGGAGGTAGGAGGCTGGGAATCCAGAACAAGGGTGGAGATCCAGTCCCTGCTCCAAGATTAACCCCACCTATGAGAGCCAGTTTATTCTGGCGTAAAACTGAGATAGTGGTAACTATCCTGTCGGATATCTGCAGGGATTAGCAATAATGTCAACTCCCATTCTACCCTCCTTCCTCATTAAGAGAATCTTCAGGAGTTTAGGGATGGGGTTTGGTATCCAGGAAGCTGGGACTTCCCGAGGAAGAAACAATGATTGGTTCAAGGCAAGCCCATGCCAACCGCCACACTGGTTTATGAGTGGCCTCTGACCCACTTCTGGCAAATGAGAAATAAAGATAAGCCTGTCTCAAGGCTTGGAGAGAGGGCTCCCCGGGCTAAAAAAGGATGAATCAGCCTTCCAACTTCCCCCTTTCTTCTGGCCCCCAAAGATGTCAGGGCTCTTGTCTGGAGCTATGGCTTCAGGGGGTGCCTAACCAATACAGAGCAGAAAGCACCCAGCATGGTATCTGGGAAAAGTTCTCAGACTTCAGTGTGCACAAAAATTGCCCGAAGAGTGTTTAGAAGTATGGGTTTGGGGGATGTTAGACTCTAGAGTCAGTAAATCTTGGGTGGGGATCAGAGACATTATTCAATCAAGTATCAATATGCACCCCTGATTATTCCCCTCACATCAGCTCCAGGCCCTGATTCTCAAGTAGCTTGTCTTTGCATGAGACCCCAGTTCCAGAACTGCCACTTGCTGTGTGTGCAGACCCTCATCATCCTGACTTAAATATTTATTTTGCCCCTGACAGGTACTAGGCACTGTGAGAGACACAAAGATGGAGGAGACACGGCCGGTTTTGCTCTCAAGGAGCATGTAAGCTGGAAGGTGAAACAAAACCGGGATAAAACTGATCCAATGACAACGCAACACTCGGTACCTGTGATCAGGGCTGCTGGGCAGGGAGAGACTGCAGACTAAGTCATCCCGCCCCAACCTCGAAGAGAGTCCAGGAGCTCTCGTTTGACTAAAGCTTAGAAGGACAGATAGGATTTCAAGAGGAAAGAGTTCTGCAGGCAGAGAAGACAGTAAAAACGAAGCCTCAGCTCTGATTATGAAGAGTAAGAATTATTTGGAAGGAATAGTTGACCCTTGAACAACATAGGTTTGAACTTCCTGGGGCCACTTATATGTGTTTTTTTTTCTTCCTTTTTTTCCCTAAATACATACTACACCACTACACAATTGGCAGTTGGTTGCATCCGTGGATGCAGAACGGTGAATACGAATATAGAGGAACCAAGTATAAGAGGGCAGACTGGGAAGTTACACAGATTTTCAGTAGCACAGTGGGTAACCCTAGCCCCCAAGTTTCCAGCATCAGGTGCATTAGATTCGGAGTTGGGCTGGAGCTTAAGGACATGAAGAGACTGGAGACAAAGGCTGGAACAGTCATTTTCAAAAATGGGTCAGTCTGTGGGGTGCAGAGGTGGGACTAAAATTTCCAGGCCCTGAAAAATCGCACACATTCATTCAGCACACCTCTGATGAGCGCCCACTGTGTACTAGGCCAGAGGACGGGGGTTACGTGGTCCTGCCCTCAGAGAAGCTCAAATCTGAGCGGAGGGCACAGGCCCAAGAAAGTGTGACCAGCCCTGTGGCGGGGGGATGGCAGGGAGACAGAGGC